TCTTGACAAGTTCCTTCACGTGTATCAAATTAAGAATAATCAGATAAGTTTTGAAGCTTGTATTTAATTATTTTCTTTGTATGGAATCTAATTCACATGGTTGTATCTTGTATGAGTTGAACTTGTATATCATGGACTCATATCTTTTTATCAAGCATCATGATCTTTTGTATCGTAGTTTCATTAATGTACTTAATGAACATACACATTTGTCTTGGAATGGTTTAATTACACATGTGTTGTTTAGTATAAAATTGAATCATGTATTTATACTTGTGGTATATTTGCTTCGATGGATTTCTTGTGCTATATATCTTGGTTCTAGTCTATATAGATGCACACTGTGATTTCTTGACATTCCACATGCCATCATAGTTGAGAACTTAGGGCATGACTTGTGTGTTCCAAAATCTTGGTTGTGCATGAAACGTGGTTAATGCATTTCTTGTATTTTGATACAATCTTGGTTGCACAACTTGTTGATTTTGGGACTTGGGATATCAATCAAGAATTGACATGGCTAGGACTTGGTTCTAGTACGAGGGATTGTCCCTCTACAACTATAGTGCGCACTAGGGGAAGGTACCCATGGGTTAATAGCCCTGAAGTGATCCCAAGAGTATAGTTTTAATCCGGGCGATATCCGAGTTTCAACATTGGTTGATTTCACTCTTTAAATTTCAAGTTGCTATTCTTTGAAGATTTAAAACTTATCGTGTTATGTGAAATGCTCCAATCTTGTTAATTGCATAGATTTTATGCTTCATTCGTGATTTCACTCCTTAAATTTCAAGTGTTACAGTCCTTGAAGATTTAAGACTCTTTTCGTGTTGTAGGGAAGACTCCATTCTTGTTTAATTGCATAGATAGTATGCATTATCCTTGATTTCGTGTACAATCCTTTTCGTGTTTTATGGAATATCCCATCCTTGTTGCATTGCATAGATTTTATGCTTCATTTATGATTACATTCCTTAAATGTCAAGTGTTGTATTCCATGAAGATTTAAGAATCCTTTCATGTTTTATAGAATGTTCCAACTTTGTTACGTTGCATAGATATCATGCCTTGTCCCTGATTTCATGTACCCTGCTTGTCATATTGTATGGATTATTCCAAACCTTGCTTAATTGTATTGGAAATGCAATTCATGTTGATCTATATTCAAGCATCATTCTTGTCGTGTTCTTTGGATTATCCCAACCTTGATTCGTTTCATATACGTATGTATATCATGATTCTTGTTGATTTATACTCTAAGGTAGCTTAGGATGCTCCCTGAGTCTCACCTTTGACATAGACGTTAGGTGGCATGATCCTTTTAAACTGTATCATGTTAGTCTAAAAATCTGAAAGAAATCGAGTCGATGCATGCTCATTCTCTACGAGTAAACTTGTTTACTCACCTCGAAGTTACTGGAGGTTTTGATCAAGTACGAAGACTTGGTTCGTGATGTTCGTCATTGCTTAGATGATTGTAGACTTGAAGATCTTTAATTCTTGTAAAGATTGGCTTGAAATGCCACCTATAGTCTTATATGTCAAAATGTGTATATTCGATTCCATTTAAGTAAAGTGCACATAAGTACACTTTTTGTAATGTATTTGACGTGTATGACATGAAGCCAAGGGCCAAGCATGCCTATTTTTGCACTTGTACTCATTTGGCGCCTCATTTTGTTTAAAAATGTATTTTTTCCAACTTTGGAGGTTTGGCATGTCAAATCTTGTAAATGAAATGTAATGAGGCCATAGGCCATTGTAGCACGTTTAAAATGTCATATTACACTTGCATGTACATTCACATCATCACACAATAGCATATGATGTAAATTGATCATGCCATGGGGGATTCCAAATAGACTTTCAGCCTTGGGTGCATAAGGTCGTTTTTGCACTTTCTCGAGCCATTTCAGTCGACCGAAGCCTTTAGGGCTTCATCTGCACAATGAAAAGTCATTTTCCAGTAGCTTTTGCCTTGTTCAGGTCCATTTCGGTCGACCGATTCATCATTTCGGTTAACCTAAGTGATTTCTCTTCAATTTTAAGAGTTTTGGAACTTTTCTGGTCATTTCGGTCGACCGAAATGGCTATTTCGGTCGACCTAAATAGCTTCCATACACAACACTCTTCAGTTTTGTTTCAGCACTGTTGTTCCGACTTCAAATGGCCATATCTCCTTCATTTCTAAATCAAATGGGGTGATTCTTGGGCCTAAACTCAAGGATTTTGAGTCAGATTTCCAATGGTACCTATGCCATTCTCAAATTCAAATCACAGTAGGAGTTATATATGTTTTTATGAAGTAGTGTCGGGATTTGGTTTGAACCGATAAAGGGCTTCTTGTGGGATTCTTGTCCAATGTTCTTGGAACCTCTTGGAATGTTGTGAAATGATTAGTTTAGGTTGTATGGACCTTATTTGACTTGCTTAGAGTCAAATCTCACTTCTCATTTGTAAATTGACCATTTTGCCCTTGAATAACAGGTTTTACTCGTCTTTCTTCATATTATCGTTTCTCCCTTGTTTGGACTCCGAATCATGCAATTCTTGAGTCCATCTTGATTAGTTTTTCATTTTCTTTCCAGTGGTGTGCTCAGTGGCACTTGAATTCATAGTTCTAAAATGACCACTTTGCCCTTAGGAGCTTAACTGTTATTTTTCCGATCCTTTGCCTTTACATTTCGTTCCTGTGGGTTCCATGACCTCATGGAAGGCCATATTTGGGTCTTAGAGGTGTGTTGTGCCTTGGGAAACTAATTTTTTGTTTCTTGCTTCCGCATCTAGATCCATTATCGAGTCAATTTTCGATTCATCACTGGTGTACCGGGTTGAATAAAATCCAGGGTCACTACAATTACATTAATGTATTAAGGAATGGAGCAACATGAAGTTAAAAAAAAGCCTACATGTTGATTATTGTTTTGTTGATTTATTTGCTTACTGAAACTTAGCAAATCTTTTGTATATGATTTAATAATATTTAATCATATTTCAATAGTGTTATAAGTGTAATGAATTATCTGAAAATAGCTGTGCTTGCATTGGATTAAATTGATATTTTTAATATGTTGTAAACTGCATCAATTTATGGACTGTTTGGAGGATTTAAATGCTTAGCTTTATTTTAGCAATTTAATGGATTGGAACTTGGTTTTTAGGTCCTATAATGATTGCCTAATGTGGTCATATATGTATTAAACTTTATTTATGCATATCTTGGAGTATGGTTGATGAGTATTTATTACTGTTTTATCAATTATGCTATTTGGACGATTGTATGCACCAGTATGGGACAGTGGCATACTCGGGATGAATTAGTTTAAACACTAAGTCCTACCTATTTTGGATTGAGGTATGGATTAACCCTAAAGGTTAAGTCCTACTCATATTGGTGTCAGTTCAATAAACAATTGAATGACATACTTTGGTTTCTGGATGGATTTTTATACATATGTCAGGCCACTATACCAGATGGATGATATTTTGTATTAGGCTTATACGGACTTTATAAATTTATGATTATAGTACCATGATATGACCTTGAGTCTCATAATCATGGTTAGGGTGCGTATATTGCCTAGAATAACTGGACATAGTTGTTGTTCCTTGGTAGGTCTAGGTACACATGACCACGTTATGTGCAATTTACATGGTATCTCTACTCAGGCTGAGACAGACTTATTGGGCTAGTGAGCGTCCTATAATGTGTATTTATACATTTATAGACTACTTTAGTTATTGTTGAGCTATCTAGGATGTAACTGTGTATCGGGTTTCTGTATGGATTGTAGTAGGATAGAACTTGCATATGAGCCTGACCCACTCTAATTTGTTTCAGGTGTCCATCAGTTTTAGGCTTAGAGCTTGATCGTGCTGAGCAGATATAGTCACTCATTCCTTCAACTACATAGAACTGCTTTCTATGTTTAGCTTTAGATTTTTATTTTAATTGTTTCAGTTTCAGTTCGGGACATTATTAGGGGTCCACCAGATGGATTCCCGAGTTGTTAATTAATGGAGGTTTTGGATTATTGGATTTCAATTATGTTTTTGAGGATTTTTAATTTAGAATTCTTTCAGTGTTTATTATTTAATTCCTATTATTCTTTTGTATTCTATGTTCAATTACATATTAATTGTTTGGTATCCCTTGGATCTGTACTCGGACTTGATCACCTGTGGCTCTAGAATTGAGGGGTATCACAGAATGTGTGAGAAACAATTGAGTATTAGCCTTGAGATTACCCAAAGTGGTCAACATTTTATCCTTAAAGAAGAGGTTTCTTGAAGGAGCTTGAGAAAAATGAGAGTGTGGATTAAAAATGGGGGATGCTTGATTATATGAATTTGAAGGATGACCCATATTTTGGTGATAAAAATATTGAGGTGGATGAGAAGATTGAGTATAAACATTTTGGCCACGAGCTCGATGAGGTCGTATATACTTTCCTTGGGAAGGATTTGCACTTGTACTTTGATTTCTCTATAAGAAATTTGGATGATCTCGCCACCAGCGATTATAGGTGTTTGATTATGGATTATTGCCTGGGCAAGAAAATATGGCATTTACTTGCTCTTGAGGTTCATGTGGGATGGGTTGTCCATTGGGATAGTCCCAAGAGATTTGGTAGGGATTGGACCAAATCGTGCAAGCTTCATTTGGAGTGGAATAAGGAGAGATTGAATGGGGTGCCGAAGATTGACCTACTAAGAATTGGTCAAGTCTTTGAGTGAGAGTTTTTACCTCCGCGGTGACTTCCAAAGAATTGTCAATTAAGATAATGAACATTTTTAACTTTTTACCCCTTAACAAAAACAGCCTACCCGAATCGTTAGAAAAAGCACAATGCATTGAGTTTTCACCCAAGTTTTCAAAAAGTGTCCAAAGTTCATTTTCATGTTTTAACAAAAATGTACCCCCACACAAAATGTCTATCATTTGCCTATTTGTGTAGGAGAGACTTTCATAGAAATAGTGTACCAATTACTATTTTGGTAATTCATGGTGAGGACATTTTCTTAACAAATCATTCAACCTTTCCCAAGCTTCATGGAATTGTTCCCTATCATTTTGGGTGAATCCAATGATAGCCGCTCTTATTTAAATGGTTTTGCTTGCGGGGAAATGTTTCTTAAAAAACTCTTGTTGCATGTGATCCCACGAAGTAATGGTATTTGCCCTAAGAGCATTAAACCAAACATTTGCTCTATCCTTAAGAGAAAAGGGAAAGAGTTTTAATTTTAAAGCATCTTCCAGTAAACCAGTGATTTTGACAGTGTAACACACTTCTAAGAAGTCATCTAAATGCTTATAAGGATCTTTATGTGGAAAGCCACTGAAGAAAAGTAATATCCCGATGATTCTGGGCTTAATTTCATAACGATTTGCATTTAAATTTGGCAATTAATGTAATGACCCAGTCATTTTCCTTCCTTTCCTTTTCTCAGATTTTCACGGATATTTTTTTTCCGTTGATCTTTTCCTTTCTGAGTTCAGTTTTTCGTCACATAGTACCATCTCGAGTGCTCAAGAATAGTTTCTGAGACTCTTTTCTTTGGATTGACAACTTCCTTTGAGGACCATGTCAATTCCACATTTTCATTTTTCGTCATTTTCCCTTTTCGTCTTTTCCCCATTTGTCACTTTGTTCGCGTAACCACACTTCTTTTGTTCGGAGTTAGTTTTGGACTTCATGTATCTTCATTCTAAGTGGTTTTCACGAAATACATCTCTTTACTTTTGCAGTAAAGTATTCTGGTTGCTCCCGGTGTCTATAGGGACATGGATACACAATTCTTCAGAATCTTTTTCTTTTCTTAGGGTGTTTTTCATAAATATCTTTTGAAGATATTTTATTTTAGAGGTATCTAAGAAAAATTTCTTGACTTGTTGTGTGGCTATGTGGTCATTTTGCTTTTGAGAGATTGTTCTGTTGTAAACACATGGGTGCGAATGACATTGGTTTGTACGTTGTCCTTCAGTTTGGGATTGCTCCTGTAGCATGTTATGTGGGATACTCGAAGATGTACTCCGTAGTTATCCTGTTTTATTGGGGCTGGAATTCGAGGATGAAATCCCTTTAAGGTAGGAAGGTTGTAATGACCCGGTCATTTCCTTCCTTTTCTTTCTCTCGGATTTTCACGGATATTTTTTTTTCGTTAATCTTTTCCTTTTTGAGTTCGGTTTCTCATCTCATAATGTCGTCTTGAGTGCTCGGGAATGGGTTTCGAGACTCTTTTTCATAGATTGACAACTTCCTTTGAGGACCGCGTCAATTCCACATTCTTATTTTTTGACACTACGCCATATTTCGTCCTTTTCCCTATTTTATCTTTTCCCCGCTTGTCACTTTGTTGGCATAACCATACTTCTTATGTTCGGAGTTGGTTTTTGACTTCACGTATCTTCATTCTTAGTGGTTTTCACGAAATACGTATCTTTACTTTTGCAGTAAGGTACTCTAGTTGTTCCCGGTGTCCATAAGGGCATGGATGCACAATTCTTCAGAAACATTTCAATTTCTTAGGGTGTTTTTCATAAATATCACTTGAAGATATTTTATTTCAGGGGTATCTCAGAAAATATCTTTTGAAAGATATTTTCATTCTGGGGCAGTTTCGTAGTTTTCACTTTTTGGAGGGGACATTGTGCAATTAATGAAAGTTATTACTAAATGCCTTGTTTTGAGCCTAAATCCTCGTACGAGATTCATTTTCACATTTCATCGAGTCGTGTACTCTTAGAATTCTCTTCTGGTCGTGTTTCTCCAGTTTCAGGGTTTCTGGACCTAGTTGCCGCCGAACTTATTCGGGGCATAGCTTTCTATTCGAGACTTAGTTTTCGATACCATTTCTTTAGTTGTTCATATTTTCTCATTTTGAATCTTTTTTGTTCACAGAGTTTTGTCGTTTGAGCGCGTTTACTCAAATTTCACTTTTCCGAACCCGACGGGGCCCGTTTGGGGCACTTTTTGAGATTTTCTATAAATAGGGGCTCTTTAATTAAAAAATCAGATCTCACCCTCTCTCTCCTCTCTTCTGGCCAAAATCCATGGCAGCCATGGCTGCCATCTTCTCTCTCCTCTTTTGATCCACTTTTCCTTAATGAAAAGTCTTTGGCCTTAACGTTTATTGTTTCCCTCAACGTGCTCTACCTGTCACCCTTATTAGAATCCTTTTTTGGCCAATTTTTGAGTTCAGATTTGAATTCAAGTTGTGATTTTGATGGGACTTCTTAGTGTTAATGTTCACGGCGTTGTCCCCGACAAAACCCCGAAGTATCGTCGGATACAGAGCCGTTTCATTTTGGTGGCTTTTGAGATTTTCATCTCAAATTGAGGTAGGGAATGTTTTAGGATTTTGTATGTATTGTATTGAGTGTATTGCATGATTATACAATTTATTTGCATGCCTTGTATCAAATCTAAGAAGTTAGTCATATTTATTTCTTTGTATAAGATTTAAATTTCAGAGGTGTACATAGATTAGAATTAAATTGTGGCAAGATGATAAATTATGTTTTTGTATGTTTGTTAACATACATTAAATTGGGATTAATTGAATAAGAATTGCACTTTTATTTAATATTTTTATTTTGTGAACGATTAATTCCCATGGCCGTACCTTGCATGAAATTAACTTATGATATGTTTTTAAATTATGTCTTGGCATGTTGTTTAACATACTTTAATTTAAGAATATTTGGATGAGTTTGAAAATCTAGAGATTTTAATTAAAAGGTTTAATTAAAATCTATTTAATGGTTCCGATGGCTTAATTAAGTTTTTAACTTGATAATTGGGATGACTAGGACTTGTATACTAGCATATGTTAAATTTGGAACCATTTGATGTTGTTTTAGAGTTTAGGGATTTGATTATCATGATTTAGTTAAATTCCATTTTTATTGTTCAAATGGCCTAATTAAGTTTTTGAATTGGTATATGCAATGACCATGCTATGTTGTTTAACATGTGTTAATTAGGGACCATTTGATTGAGATTTGAAACCTAGGGAATTTAATTAGTTTATTTAATTAATTTTCATTTCTATTGCATTATTGATTAAATCATGTATTTGACATTGATGGTAAGTTTAAAGCATGATTTTTAACTTGTAATGGATTTATGAGTTTATGTTTTCAATATTAGATTATATTGTTATAGTGTGTAACGAGTTGCACACTAAAGATTCGACATTGTCATCCTATAGTAGTTGTGGATTTAGCGCATGTATTGGGTGGTTACAATCTACTTATGCATGGAAGGTAATTTCGTGCATTGTATAAATTATGTATAAGTTGTGAACTTATTTGATTTATTTTGGAGTCTTGGGACATTGTTGTTACATGTGATATGGCTAGAGTTTGGCTCTAGTGCAATGAGTTCTCTCCATTTATAGTGCGCACTTAGGGTGGTCTTCCCAGTGGGTTAATGCTCGGAATAACCATTGAGGTCTCGGCAGATATTCCGAGCTTAATGTCCAAGTCTTCCACTATTTGTTTTCGCATTCAATTCCAAGTTGACAACCAATATTTAATTGTGACTTGTTGTTTTGGTTATTGGCGATTTAATGTTGTTAAGTACATTTATGCATTATGGTTTTGAATAAATCATAATATGCTTTTAATGTTGTCAAGAACATTCATGTTTTATGATTTGTAAGGAATCATTGTAAATCTTGATGTTGTTAAGTATATTATGTTGTATTGTTCAAATGTAGCTTAGGAATGATCTTATATATTCATTTAGAACATAGACGTTAGGTGGCATGACCCACTTTTTTCATTTTTGTATTTTGGATTTCAAGTTGATGGTTTTGAGAATCCATATCTTGTTGCTTTGTATAGCATGCTCCCATGTTACTTAAGTTGCATGAATGATGTGATTTAAGCTAGAAATGATTTAAGGTAGCTTAGGATGCTTCCTGAGTCTCATTTTGATATAGACGTTAGGTGGCATGAACCCATTTAACATATTTCACCTTAAGGTGATGAAATTGTAAAACGCAGGTCAATACATGCTCATTTCCTACAAGTAGCTTTATGTTGCTCACCCCAAAGTTACTGGGGCATATTTCAGGTACAGGATTCAAGATCAGGAGATTACACTTACCTTGGGTGATTAATAGATTTAAGGTCTCTTTAAATGTATTCTTGTTCACATGCAAGTGTTCGCATGTTTGAGTTGTCTTTGAAATGTAATTTTTCTAACTTGGAGGTTTGATATGTCAAATGTTGTAAATGAATTGTAAGAAGGCCATAGGCCATTGTAGCATGTTTAAAATACCATTTTACACTTGCGTGCATGTTCACATCATCATATAATAGCATATAATTAAGTTTGATCATGCCATGGGGGATTCAAATATGACTTAGAGTCTTTTCTTCATTTTGGTGCATAGCAGGTTCATTTTTACATTTTCGACCTGTTTCGGTCGACCGATGGCCCTTAGATTTTAATTGCACAGTACAAATCACAATTCCAGTAGCCATTTTTCATCTCGAGCTTCAAACCGGTCGACCGGTTTGTAATTTCGGTCGACCGAAATGAAGGCTCACTCTCTCTTCTTTCCTGGTCCATTTCGGCAGACCGAAGCTCCATTTTGGTCAACCGAAATAGAGTTGCCTTGTGAGTTTTGCTTGGTTTGTTGCCTTGATGGTGTAACCTTATTCCACTTGTTTCCACTTGACCTTGTTGGTCATGTTCCAGCCATTTAATGGCGTAAGGAGTCTAGTTTGAACTAAGTTTGTTTTCCTTTGGTTGTTATCAATGCCATAGAGTACCAATTGACCTTTTTACTCTAATTTCCTCTTTCGGTTGTTTCTTTGATTTTCATGACTTCATGGAAGTTTATTTGGGTGTCTTAGGGATGATTGAGGTCCCTATAGACCTTGTTTTTGGTTTCACTTCTGCATTTCGGATCCGTTATCGGGTCATCTTTTGGTTCATCACTGAGGCACCGGGTTGAAAAACTTGGGCCGTCACAATTGGTATTAGAGCTCCTAGGTTTGAAAACCTTAGGACGATAGGTTTTGGGTGCATATCATGCTTGTGTTGCCATGCTCTAGGTGTTTATATGATTTATGATAACATGTTTTGGTT